TTTAAAACAATATATTATAAAACTATAGATACTTTAGAAAATCAAGATGATGATAATCAAAAATTAGAAGAAAATATAAGTTTATTACAAAATGAAACTAATTTTAAAAAATCTTTTGAAAAAAATTGTTGTGAAAAAAATTGTTTACAAACTCAAGTTGAGTATTCTATAGCTTTAATTAGATATTTAAATTTTAAAAATCTTTCTAAATCATTTCAAGATATGTATTTATTAGGTATAATTGCTGCTACTAAACGGCTTAAAATTATTAAAAATTCAAAAAAATCTAAACTTACTACAGAATATACTTTTGAAGGAAAATCAATTTGTTTAAATGCTTTTAAAATAATTTATGAACTAGTTGATACTCAATAGAAAAATTTAAGAGATCATTTTATAGAACATGATATTAATTTAAGAATTAATTCAAATACTAGAAAAGTTAGTAATCGAGCAATATCTTTAGAAATAGTAATGAAAGTTATTTCTTTCATAGGAAATTTTGCAAAACAAAATGGTTTACCATCTCCAGGTAATTTTTTAAAATAAAATATTTTTTGATTTTTTATTTATTAATTAATTTAAATTTTATAGGTCGAAATTTTCAAGATAATACTATTGCAATTATATATTTACCAGCAGATATTACTTATTTATCTTTACATACACAATATTTAGAAGCAATTAAAGCTAATAATCAATTTGAAGTTAGCTTAAAAACATTTATTAGAATTTGGAAAAAATTTTTACCACAAATTAAAAAATTAATACCTCGTAGTGATTTGTGTTTTAAATATAAAGATATAAGATTTAATGCAAATTATTGGACAATTGAAGAAAAAGATACTAAAGTTTTAGAATAGTATAAATATATTAAATAGGCAAATGAAGAACGTAATAATTATAAGTAATTTTTAATTTTATAAAAATAAATTTATTTATTTTATTTTGTTTTATTATAATAATATTAATTTTTATAATTAAAAATTTTATTAGACAATATATTAAAATAGCATAAGAAGATATTCAAAAATTTGGAATTAAAAATATAATATGTTCTGGTAAACCTAATTCTTTAGATATTACAGTTCATTTTTCTTGAGATTATGTACAACAAATTCAATTACCATATTCATCTCAACAAGAAGTAAATTATTTTATTAAATTTATAAAAATTTAATTATAAATA